CCCCCCCCCCCCCCCCCGCCCCCGAAGAAGAAAAAAAATCGTTTTATGTTTTTTTCCCCCTTGCATTTGAGTACGAATTTCAAGATTATCCTCGGTCGAGAGTTATTTGTATTGCACTGCTACATAACATATCTTTTCACCCGATTTTTATTTCATTATATTCTTATTATTCTTAAATTATCTGGAGAACATCTTGACGCTGGCATGTGGACCTGGGCGTCCAGACAGTCCATATGGCGTTCAACCATGAAAAAGTGTCATGAACAGGGGCAAAAAACTTGAAAAAAGTATAATTATAAGGACAGCTTCTGCGCTAGGGTCAGAGCAGGAACAAAACAAGATAAGGTAACTAGGACAGAAAAGCCCAACGCAAACGAAGGAAGAGACACTTCACCAAGTCTGGCAACAATATCCTAAATAACTGGGCAAAAGTTGAAGCCAGTCAGACAGGAGTGAAGGACAAGAAGCAGAGTTTAAAGGAACGCAATGGAGGGAATGAGAATTGAAACATAGAATTGGCTAGCAGAACAGACCAAAAACACATCTGGTGAGGAGTGGGAAACTGGTCGAGGTGGAAGAACACAGGAAGAAAGAAGCGGTAGTGTACGAGTACCCAAAGGAGCAGATTTCGAAACTCGACGAATTTCACGAAAAACACGCAGTGCTGTTTACCTTCTCCAGGAAAAGCCAAGAGTTTAATCGCCCAGCAAAGCTCAAATGGATGTGGGAAAAACTTAAAAGTCTGGAACCAGTGCAAGTCACTTTTACTTTTTTGTTATTTTGTAATCTTATTGGCATGATTCCTTATAGTTTTACAGTGACAAGTCATTTTGTGGTCACCTTTGGTCTTTCATTATCTCTTTTTATTGGGCTTACTATAGTGGGATTTCAAAAGTACCATTCCACCCACAAACAAGAGACGTAATAATGATAATTTGCAAGGATCCGATCTACGCAGACTTCCTGAGGAACAAGACTTTCACCTGCAACTCCTCAGTAGTCACTGTGCATCCATGGAAACCGGACACCCCCTTCCAAATGACACCCTCGCGCTACAGACAAGAACTGATGAAAAAGTACTTCTGGGTTCAATTCGATAACGTCCATGAGGGACTGCACAAAGGAATAAAGGAACACTTGCAAATGGAGTATGGCCATCTGAAAATCATGGAGTGGATAATTGCGACGCCAGACTTTTTGGTGCCGCAGCACAATACAATGACAGTCTGCCTGGACCTAGGCAACGACATCCCCCCGGAAATGCCTGACTATTGGTTCTTCATCATGAGAGACAGAACAGTCAAGGTGACAGTTTCCAGCAAAAGCAATCCACTGTGCTTCAAGTGCAGGAAGAGAGGGCACATGGGAACAGACCCCAGCTGCCCGAAAACCAAGGGTACTCAGACAGACAAGTCTGGCGGTAGTGGCTTCTGGTACGTGAGAAGCAACCAGTACGTGGGGTGGATCTTCAATGACAACCTGCCAGTCCCGGACTGGGTCTGGGTACTGGAAGGTGAACCTACCCCGAAGCGTGATGTTTACCCCCCCTCAGACAGCAGATGGCAGACCACGAAAGGTGAAAAGAAATCAGCGAAAATCCTCACGAGGGACCCGGTGCTAAATCTAGAAAGAATCCAAGAAGAACGCTGCCTTAAGGACTTGCTCATGGATCTGAACGAGACAGGGGAAATGACAGAAAAGGAAATGCTAGAGAAGGAAAAAAGCAGACAAGAAAGAGAACGAGAGATGGAGGCAAAGAGGAAGAAAACACCGTCAACGTACTCAAGAAGGGGTCAACAGAAGATATATAAGCAACAACGGGAAGGAACAAAGGGAATGGAGGTGGACAGGAAGACCAACAGGGAACAGCAACAGAAGGCAAAGCGATGGTGGGGGAAAAAAAGAAGAAGCCGGAGGAAGGGAAAGGCACAACAACCAAAAGGATTCAAACGGAGGAAGAGGAGGAGGAAGAAGACTTTTAGAGTGAAGAGGAGAATGCCCCATGGGGAGACGCCTCCTTGGAAGAGCTTAAAGAATATATCCAAAAGCTAGGCTGGTCCCCGGGCCGCCTGGCCGGTTGTCGTGCCCGGTTGGCCACCGGGCGCCCCCAGCGCATCACTGTAGGTTAGGTTTGTTTTTTTTTTTTCGGTGCTGGGGCCCTTTTTACCCCCTTCATAGATCGTGTGGACCACGAAAAAAAAAAACAAAACGGGGCCGGTAGGCCCGATTTCACCGATTTGAAATCGGGCCCCATCTGGATCGTCGATTTCGAAGATCGACAGCCCATATTGCATGGATTTCAAATCGGTGAGGGCGGGAACTACCGGCCCCTGTTCCCTCCCTTGTGTTGATGATGTGCCCTCGACGTCCCCCCTTCCCTGCCTTGCAGCACTGTGTGTCCGCCGGCCTTTGACGCGCAACTTCAACGCTCTTCTTCGACGCACCCTGCCAGCACCTGCGAACGCCCGCCATCGCTCGCCACCCCGTCGTCGCCCGCCAACGGCCGCCTTCAACAAGGTAAGGGACTTAGTTGGGGGGGGGTGGGGTGAGAGAGAGAGAGAGAGAGAGATCTTCTTCTTCTTCTTCTTCTTCTTCTTCTTCTTCTTCTTCTTCTTCTACTTCGCTTCTTCTTCTTCTTCTTTGCCCCCCTTCCCGCCGTCCTCCACCAGGTTTCTTCTTCTTCTCCCTCTTCGCTGCTTCAACTTCTTCTGCTCCTTCTTCTTCTTCTTCTTCTTCTCCTCCTCCTCCTCCTTCGCTTCTTCTTCTTCTTCTTCTTCTTCTTCTTCTTCTTCTTCTTCTTCGCCAGTTCTTCTCTTCTTCTTCTTCTTCTTCTTCTTCTTCTTCTTCTTCTTCTTCGCCAGTTCTTCATCTTCTTCTTCTCCCCCCCCCCCCCCCCCCCCCCCCC